GTTTTTTGAAAGAAATCTGGTTGTACCAAAACCACCAATTTGGGCTCTATTTCCATTCGCAACAATGACATGCTGAGGTTCTTTAATTTGTGTGACATTTTGTATTTTACTTTTGTCCCATGTCATATGATCATTATTACAATTCAATAATCCATCCACTCGTACTTTGACAGAAATTAGCAACTTTAAAAATATTTAAATCATTTAAAACGGATTTAGAGAGTACAAAACCTGAAGTTTGTTGCTGTAACAAACTGTTTAGTTGGGCCAGCAGCTGCGTCAATTGGGCTGTAGGTGTCACAGAAGGCCCAATACCTTCATTTAAATTAGATTGGGCCAATCCGGGTCCAAATCCAGCAGCTCTAGCTCTAAGCCCAGCAGGTCCAGGTCCAGCCACAAATCCAGCCCCTTCATTAGGGCTCATTTCCACCCCTTTGTTTGCACCTCCGAATCCCCTGAATCCCCTCTCCTTCCTTGCACCGTTCCAGTTCCCTCTCTCCCCCTTGTTCTGAGCCGGCCGGAGATGAGGATGGAGGACCCAGTAGCCTTATCGGTTGTGCCCTGCACGTTTGCAATGGTCGCACCAGTCGGCGGTTGAGATCCCCTTCGTCTTGGCTGCGTCTCTGGAATTAGGGGTTGGGTATTGGGGCTTGAAAGCTCAGTTGTTCTCGTATTTTTCGATTGTTGTGGGTTCATGAGTGTCCTTCGAGACTCCTCTTGCTCGATTGTTGCTACTATATAGTCAAAGCTTGGCATTTCGACTGAGAGGAGGATTTGGGATCGGACTGCCTCATAGCTTGCATCGAGTGCTCCCAGATAAGTAAAAATAAAATCATGCTCGTTCATTTTCTGAATCTCGACCGTGTCTGTTGTTGGTGGGAGATATGTGTTGAGTTCCTCCCATTTTGAAACTAATTCTGTCACGAGTTGCATGTTGCTTTGATTACTTTGTTTGATTTTTGAAATCTCATGTTTGAGACTAAAAATGTGGGCAAAGTTTTTCTGTTGGCCATATAATTTCTTGGCTTTGTCCCACACTTCCTTTGACGAGTTATAGTACATGAACATGTTGGCAATGTGAGGCTCCATTGTGTTCAGCGGCCACGACATGACCATGTGGTCTATGGTTTGCCATTCTTCGACTTTGGTTGTTTCTGCCTCAATTGGTTTCTGGGGATCTATGGGTTTGGGTTTTTCTTTGGTCCTGTGACAAACTGTAATTTGCCTTTGTCACTGAGACCGATCGTTACTGATCT